ATCTGCTGGCGCTCCATCTCCAACGCTAGGACTTTCACCTCCAAATCTTCTCTACGGTAGCGTTCTTGGAGTAGGCATGCCTGGAGGTCGTTCACCGATGCCTGTAGATTCTTATTTTCCTCCAACACCGGGGCCATCTCCTCTAGTTGTCGCCGGCACTGCTTGGACAAAAAGACTGTGATCTCTAAGGGACACAATAGAAGGATTTTTTAGGCTTACCTCAATGCAGCCGATCATTGCCGCCAGGTCGGTTCTCAGCCTCTTCGTCTCTGCGCTCGCTTCCCCCTCCTCCAGCATTTCAAACTCCTCACCGCGCTGTATAACTATGCGGAGGAGCTAGGGAGGTGGAGCGGGCCCCCGCGCAATCTCTTCAACTTCCACAGCAGCTGCCTGCAGAGGTGCCCTCCTTGGTCGCTGCTGTGCTCGGATAGGTCCTTCGAGCCCTGTTCCCTCTATCGACGCTACCGGTGCTGTCGGTTGCTCAGCAAACATGGGTGGATCCCGCACCGCACTGCTCGGCGCATCCCCTACAGCCCCTGCTCCTGCTCTGATAGGATCAGCCGATGTCATCGCAGCACTCCACAACCCCTCATCACCCGGATCACCCTCATCGTGTGCCCCATCGCCAGGCGAGGTCGGTCCAGTAGCTGGTGGCTCCTCAATTGCAGGGCCGGCCGGCTCCGTAGCCCTAGGTTGCTCCACGGTGGAGCAACTAGATCTGCTCCCCCTTGTCCCTGCTAGGCGTGGGGAGCTTCTGGTTCCTCTACACGCCCCCGTCATCAGTAGCAGAAGGCTGCAGGCCCTTAGTCGACTCCGTACTTCGGCAAGCAAGCAATTCGTCAAGAAACAAAGCACCGTGCTGGAGAAAAATCACTCATAAAGAAGGGAACTTACAATTGGGACTCCCACCACATGGTTTAGAACTGGCACGCTCGCACGAAACCGCCCTCTCCAGCACCCAAACTACCCGGCGTCTCCACTGCCGTCGCCGGAGTCACCCGCGCGGTCTCAGGGACTACGGCGGCTGCTTGTGCCGCTGCCACCAGAGTCATCCATGCGGTCTCGAGGACTGTAGTGGTCGCCCGAGCTGTTGCTGCTGGTGCCACCAAAGCTGTCATCGTTGGTGTCGCCTAAGTACTGTCGGACATCGCTACCGTGGCCTCCCGCATCCACCGTCTCTCGCGCGTCTCCGCCCCAGCCGGCGCAGCTAGCGAAGGCATCACAGCCCTCGATGAAGGAGATGCTATCGGTCCATCATCGTCTGACGAGCTCGACACCACCATCTGCCATCTTAGAGGTTGGGCGAACACCCCAATGCTCACCGGTCTCTCCTCACGACGAGATGACCTTGCCATCTTTCTTCTCTTCGAGGATGGCTCCTCGCCAGCAGGCCTCTTCCCTCGGAGCTTCTCGCAGACATACGACGTCCGCTCTCTTCATCTTCGTCGTCAAGGTCGGCTAACCTATCCCCACCAGCCTCCGAGCTAGCTCGACGCCAGGGACTGCTCGGCCGGGTGTTAACCCCCCTCAGCCAGTCACACGATGGTACTGTCGAGAAGTACACCGTCTGGTCCTACCCACGAATCTTTAGGAACACGAATGAGTACATTGCAATAGATAAGGGAGCAAGTGAAACCAAAAAGAAGACTCTTACCCATGGTGGGAGGCTCCCAACACTAAAGGGCCTCTACTGGTTGTTGATCCTAAGACGCCCCCGAGGTTGAACATAATTGAGATGCGCCATTTGGCTTCATCCCGATTGATCTCCTCGGGTACCTCACGGGTCCCATCGGTCTCCCTCCGGAATTCATATCTGGGATGTGTCCTCTCCTTGCTGGGCTGGATCAGCCGAAAAGTGAAATTCGTTGCTACTATCACCCCATCCAACCTTCTCTGATTTATCAGCGCCAAGAGCCCCGTCACTTGCTCCATTCCCTTGGTATTAGGCCTCTCCGACCACTTGGCGTTGCTCATGGGGATCTGATCAACGTCGCATGCCACATACGGCTCCACCTATGGCATGTAGAACCACTGCTGCGCCCAATAGTTCACATTTGTGTTCAACAGGGTGGCGATGTATTAACCCACCATCCCGTCCCAAAGCTGCAAGTATGCATCGCCCACGATCCTAGATCCAGACCCCCTCGGGCTTTCAGATAGAAGAAGTGGCGGAAGAGATCGAAATGGGGAAGAATGCCAAGATATGCCTCGCAGAAATGGATGAAGACATAGACAGGAAGGATGGAATTTGGGCTGAGATTGCAAAGACTGATCCCGTAATAGTCAATCAACCCACGGAGGAACGGATGGATCAGAACACCAAATCCGTGATAGAAGTAATCTTCAAAAACTACTAATTCATCACCATGAGAAGTAGGAAAGCTCTCACCAGCTGCCGGGCGCCATCCCATCGTCGCCCTATCGGGCAACACGCCGTCCACCACCAACTGATTGAGCGCCGCCTCGTTGCTGACGGACTCCACCCACTCCTCGGCACGATTGAGCTCGCGCATTGCCCTACTCAAGCCACCGCGGTTTCTTTTGGGCGCCATCTAACAGATCTGTGGCCTGGAAGAGACTGCACGCTTGCGGTTGCTCTAATGGCGGAGTGGTTGCCAGGTGCAGTGGTGTGGGAGCGAGGAAGAAGATGAAATGATGGAGAAATAGTGGGGAATATGCGCTGGAGCCGCGACGCTCTTATAACGGTTTGATCCCTGACCCTTTGCCTTCCAGGGGTTTTGAGAAACCGCGCCCACCCCGCCGCATCCTCTCTCGCAATCTCCGCATGCCGCTGGGCTGCGGAATGGGCCTGGTGGGCCGCTACGACAAACCGTGTCTTACGCGGGCTGACGAAACAGAATTCAACGCTAAGCATTGCTTCGATAGAGTTTTTTTAGACATTTTCGATAAGATATTTTCGTTTTTTGACCCTGCTACAAGATATCTTCGTAATTTTCCAGCAGGCTCGGGGACTACGTGTGTAAACGTCATCTTGCGATGACTGTACTTATTTCTACGTTGCTTTTCTTAGCTAAGCTGGGGACTGTTTTCAGCTAAGCTGGGGACTAGGTTAGTGCCTAAGGACTACTACTTTGGAGTCTGGCACCACGTGATTACTTGACCTACTGTCAGGCTCGGGGACTAAGTGGGCACACTTCATCTAGCGGTGAATATGCTTATTTTTGGACTTGGTCCTCTACAAAGCGACTAAGTCGTAGACTGTAATCGTCCAAGCCCCCCATTTTGGCTCTAAGAGTCAATTTTGCCTAAGGCATTAATGGTAAGCATCTCTTTTCGTTCCTGAGGGACTAAGTTCCTCTGCGCTGACTAAGTCAGGGACGCTAAGCGTCTAACTTCGCTGCTCGGAACCTAAGTGGGCGCACTTCATCTAAGATGGAGACTTCAAAATTTTTTACTTGAGCTCCATACATCCTTCCGACGAACCTCAACTTCATGTGAGTCTGAGCTCGGCTCCCAGTTGAACTGCTCGGACATCTGCTCTAACAGCTCGGGTGCTCGTTCAACTGCTCGGACGACTTCCTCAACAGCTCAGCTCCCAGTTAAACTGGTCGGAAGCTTGCTCCTGGTGATTGGCAACAAGTTGGATAGCACAGACAAGCTCAAGACTGAGTTGCTCAACGGATACAAGGTGCTCGGGGACTAGCTGTGGGGGTATAATCCCCGATACCGACAGGGCTGTACATGGACCGAGCCGCCAGGGGAGGCCCAGCCCGCAAGACTATGCCGCGCGTAGCACGGTATAGGTCGCGCATGCCTCGCAAGACTACGTGAAGATCCTTGGCGATCAAGGATGATCTGTTTGGATATGCTAGATTCCGCAATCTCTGTAATTCCTATCTTGTAAACCGATCAGGATAGAAACAACCGATCTGTAACCCTACCCCGGGCTATATAAGGCGGGTAGGGACCCCCTCGTTTTCATCCAATCTCTAATAATACTATCCACCAAAGACATATGACGTAGGGTATTACGTCAAGCTAACGGTCTGAACCTACCTAATCGCTGTCTCTTGCGTTCTGTGTCACCGTCCAGTTCCCTTACGCGCACCTCCACCGATTCATCTACTACCGTGAACATACCCCTCGATAGACTATTCAGATGTATTTCGTCGACAAACTCCGGCCGTCGCAAATGGCACTGCCGCCCTAGGCCCCAATCTCGCCAAGTTTCATTTCATTCTATTGACATGGCAACAGTCTTGAAAACAACCGTTATGAAACTCTCCGTTGACTGGCCTAACCTTATTAGACAGGGACTGAGTAAAGACTCTGCTGTCTGCAAAATTTTTTACTCAAACCAAGCTTAGCCAAAACATTATTTTCATTTATCTTTATACATTGAAAACTATCTGGTTTTTTTGAGAAACATTGAAAACTATCTGGTGGCCCATCCAGGTCCGAACCTGGCCCAAAATATGAAGCCCGAACCTGTCCTCTAGGCGGGCCTAGGCGTAAACTCTAGATCCAAAACCACTCGGAGTTTTTGCACATCTGCCCCGAAGCCGGACTGGCCCGAGGTCTAGCCGGCAGGCGCCATGTGCACGTGCCTGGTCGCCGACCTCAGCCACGTCAAAGGACCCCGCCGGCGCCACGTGACGCCAACGCCGTCCACTCCTCTACAATGAAACTGGGCCCCACCTCCTCTACACTTCCCCACGACCGGAAAGAAAAACCTACACGCACGGCGACTCCTTCTACGAAACCATCACATACCCACAGACAAGTGGGCCGATTCAGCCGCACCGCCTCAGGCCCCACGCGTTGCCCTTGCCCACCCGCAGAATCTACATCCCGAATATTCCACTCGCTTCCCAGCCTCCTCTTCTCCGCTCCGCTCTTGGTTGTCCCACGCCTCCGGCCACCGTCCATTCCCAAAATTCCCAAGGCAAGGCACGCACGCGTCGACATCTCGCCAGGCCACCGCTGCTCGCCTTTGACGCGCACAATCATCCCCTAGCCTTAGATCACACCACCAGACCATGGGGACCATACCGGCGGCGGCGGCGGGGCCGGGCACGGTGCTGGTGGACCTGCCGGAGGACGCGCTGCTGTGCATCCTCGCCCTCCTCGCGCCGCCCGACGCCGCCGCCGCCGCATGCGCCTGCCGCCGCCTCGCCGCCGCCGCGTCCTCCCCGGCGCTCCCGCTCGCTCTCGCGCTCCGCCTCGGCCTGCCCCCGCCCCCGCCCCCGCTGCTCCCCGCCTCCCCCTGCCCCGCCGCCGCTCGCAGGCTCCTCCGCTCGCTCCACCGCCTCCGCCGCCTCCTCGGGCTCTGGCGCCGCCTCCCCTCCAGTTCCGGCTACGCCTCCCCGTCCCTCGCCGCGTTCGAGTGGGCTCCGCGCGCCACGCTCGCGGCGTCACTCCTCGCCCCCTCCACGGACGGCGGCGTCGGCGTCTCCAAGTCCCCCTTCGTGACGCTCTCCATCGACGAGTCCGGCGACACGGTGGCGGTCGTCGGGGAAGTGCCGGTCTGCGTCAATTTCGTCGGGAACAACCACATTGTGGTCGAGGCGGCGGCGGGTGAAGATGAGGAGGTGGAAATGGTGAGCGGTTCTCCGCCGGAGGAGATGTACTCGCACTTTGCCAATAGGAAGAGCCCTGGGGCTGGTAGGAGGAGGAGGGGCAAGCAGGGGAGGAGAGGAGGCGGGATGGAGGCAGAGCACTTCGTGAGGATTGCGGACACTGAGCCGACGAAGGCACGGCCACTGCAGGGGCTGTGGAAGGTGCTTCTTCTGTGCACACTCTTCTTTGCTGCTGTACAATCTCTTAGCACTGTGCTGTTTTCAATTGGAAAGTTTGATTGTTTCCGTATTTAGCTGCAACATGCTGTTGAAGGTCATTGCTTGTCTGTGCAATTACCCATAAACTAGACGTCTGGTACTGCACCAGTGCACCCATTCCAATGAAGATGCCTCATTCACCAGGGAACCTTACACCCTTGCGATGAGATCGAATAGAGAATCCCTGCACCCTGTAAATACTGAATAGGAAAGTGCCTTCCGTGTTGACAGCTTCTCCTTTTTGAGGATTTTGGTTCACTTTGGTCGTCACACAGACACACACTACTAGAACCATTGTTGGAGATTGAACTGAAAACTGTATGCATTTGTTTGATTTCATATTCACTTGCTATCACAGACGAATCACATGCTCATAGCATAGTTTCATGGAGCCAGAGATGTTTCACTCAGGTTGAAATTTTGCACATTCAGCACATACTTAGTGCTTACCATGCATTAGTGTGACATGTTTAAAGTTGTGCGCTTGCTACAGTGAACTACATCTAGAATTTCAGGGATGATTGTTTTAGTTGGGCTCAATTGAATACCATTTAGGAGAACATGAAGCTGCTTCTTTAGAGTTGGCTATTGGTATAGTTGCTAGCTTTGGCCTTTTAATCTTTATGGACATAATTTTCCTGCTGGTGTTTATGTAGACTTTGAACCCTTAACTGTTATCAGAACTACCAGTCCATGTCGCAATTGGGTTAATCAAATGGCAAGTTTTCTCTGTCAGCAAGCAAAGCTGTATCTTTCATGGTTTGGTGCCTGCCATTGCATAGTCCCTTGTGCAACTTCATTCTCATAGTGTTATGGGCTTATGGCATTGTTGATTAAGAGCCATGAACTGTAGTGCACTAGTGCTTTAGCCTTACTGTGACTCCCTTGAGTCTTGACCCTGATGTCAGCAGGAAGCATGCTAGTGCTGAATTGCAGTATGCAAATGGGTACCCAAAACAACCCTAAGATTTGTTTTAGTTTCATCGGATCTTGATACTTCAGAAGCTTTGAGAAATCCCATTCAATCATCCCAAAACATTTCTGTACACAGAAACTAACTCTATGATTGGTTAGTTGCAAATGCTATTTGTATGTGTCCAATAATCACGGTTTTCTGGATTATTTTGTTATTAGAAGCTGAGGAATTGTCAGTTAACTTTTCCAGATACCAATACCAGTATGTTGTTATCAACTATATTTTTTATGAGAAAACCATTGTGGGAGGCTGGATAGAATTAGCTGTGCCTGTAGCTGCATATTATTAGGGTGAATTAGTTGTGGTTTAACTGATCATGATCCTCGTACGAAATCCTTCAATATTGTGCAGTTAATGCCATCTTGTTTAGCATTTTGCATCTTACCTCTGATTCGGAGAAAGAAAATGTCATTTTTAGAGTTTGAAAAGTACAGGTTAATTCGTGTAACCATGCAGCAATTGTGATTTTCTAGATGTGAGATTTCAAAACAATTTGTTCATTTTCATTGAAATGTTATAAATTTTGATTTTTATCTAATCAAAGATGAATGACTTCATTTTTTATTTTTAATATTCATTTTTCTGTTTCTTCATAAAACTATTCTCCTGTTGTATAAGTATAATTGATCATTTGGCATGCACACAACACACAGAATGATGTTACCATTTTTTTAATTGGAGGATTACTATGTACTTGGTTGTATGATTTATACCTGCTTTTTAATAGTTGACCTTTGCCATGCACAATACGTTAATTTCCATGTTCCCAAACAGGGTATATGCGAGGATAGGACTCTGGAATTTTACCTTGTCACCTATGATAACATTGGTGGAGTAACTTGTCGACGATTTAGGGATACACGGAGCCAAAACTCTGGCTACTCTCCTGTCTTTTGGACGACAGATACTACATTTCTTGATCCACCATTCTCTGAGCAAGAGCTGGATGATTATACCAGCCGCGATCATATCCAAGGTGTTACTTCCAATCATGCTGGCACTGAGAACAGGGTTATCTCAAGGATATTGTGCATCAATTCCAGTTATGATGTGGTTAATCCTCATCTCTCGACTCCCTTAGATGATGGAAGGAGTGTGGAGGGAAGAATTTGGCTATATGAGGATGGAACCTTCGGTTTTGGATTTGTTGGCAGTAATTCAATTATAGATCTGAGGCATGTCTCCTCAGCTGGCTGTATTCTTGATACTTAACATTAGATCTGGATCTTGCTGGCACATAATTTTTGCCAGCAAGCCCATTGTACAGTACTTTTAGGAAAATTCAATAGTTGTTGTGAGGCATGTTGCCTCCCATTGTTGTACTCTTGATGATAAGGACACTGAATACGGGTCCCTTCTGGCACGTAACTGTTGCTAGAATACCCTTGTAAACTAAACTTTGGTTCCTTTGGGCATGTACTTGTTGATAGAATACCGATGTATATTACTATTTGTTCATTGAATTCCAATAAATTGCAACTGTTACTTACGAGGGCTGGTACGTTCTTATGTCCTTGCTGCCAACTTCACAATCTAGTAATAAAGAGCTGTTTATTTGACTTTCCAACTTGTCATATATATTGTCCTTGTCCATCATAGGAAGCTTGTTCAGTTGTCATTTACTGATGTCATTCTGTATGAGTAGAAAAGTTACACCTGTCTCTTTGTTCTGTTTTAAGTTTTTGTAGCCTTATGTAAATAATTTTGCTAACTTGGGCTGTACTAGTAATGATACTACATTAGTACTAGTACTAGTCTACTAGTTCCGTAGCATTATTTCAGCATAATTACACCCATGTGACAGGCTGTTATATGTTTGTCTCTGCAAAATAATTGTTTCATTATAGGAGGTTGGTTCTTGGTTTACTTGTGTCCTATGCTTCAATTTGTGCTCATGAAAGTTTAGTAAGTTGCTCGATCAATTTAAGCTACCTGAACAGCATCTATTTCTGTGTAACCATTACTGAGGTTTTTGTGGTTAAATTTCCCGGGAATGTGTTGTCTGATCTTCAAATTATTTAGATCTGTAATTTGGGTTCCCTGATAAAAAGCTGTAACTTAGGACCCAATGTAATGCATCATTGTGTGGTACTGTGGTAATTTTAACTGTTTAGGTTTTAATTTATTATATACTTTGTACGTTGATGCATTGGCATGTTCTTTCTAATAAGGCCTTTTTCTGCATTATTAGGTGGAGATCTGATTACCAAAGCTATTTTCTACAATCTTGTGGCAGCCTAATGTTAGCCTGAAGACAGTGACTTTTGCTTATAACCAGTTATACATCTCAGTTGAGCAAAGTAAGACCATTCTTTGTCATGATTGCTACTTTACTGGTAGAACAGGGTACTTCCATACTCCTGTATAAATTGAAAACTCATCTGGGAACTACTGGTTAAGCAACAATAGTATTGTATACAGCTCAGAACAGCTTGAGTCAAGTGCATACGTGATACATGTTTAATCATTTGTCTGCACGATGCAGAATGATCTAATGAAGAGCCAAGAGCCAGATTCCTTTATCTGTTTCTAGATTTGTAGGCATAACAATATCTAATCAAGGCCTTATATCTGTGCCCTTGGGGTTAATGATTTAAATATTCCTGAATTCTTTTGGTTACAGAGTGGTGTGATGGTACTCTAAATAATGCATTGTGTTACATTACGTCTTTTTAGTATATGACTGGCTTTCACATTACGCTGAATCTTCCTTTTCTTTTTCACTGGTATCTAGTTGCATAATTCACTGTACTGTATCATTCTTCATGCATTCTGTACACTAGTAGTTATGATTGTCCCAGAACATGCTTTAATTTGGTACTACAGATGGGCAAATTCCTTACTTTGTTGCCATTATTATTTCCAACTTTGATGTGTGGTCCAATTATGTCCATCACATTAAGTGCTACTGTCCTGCTTGCATGAAAACAAACAAAAATGGTTGATGGGTGGGAAATTGTCATGTTAGTTGATCAAAGGGACATCTAGTGAATAAAATATGTCAGGATATTCAAGCTGGTGCCTGGGGATCTCAGCGGCTGGGCAGTGGCTGTCATGATTCATCATCTCTTAGAAAATCCTCTCACACTTTATTTTTTTCTTGGGACAGGTCTAACCTCTTTGGGATCCAGAATGACCTTGTGTATTTTGGGCTGGCAATGAGATTTTGGGGCAGAATTGGTAGGATTGAACGAAGGTGTATCCCCTTTTGATTCCCTGATATGGAATCAATTTGTGCTTGTTTTCTCTTGCATAAATTTGCTATATCATCAGAAACATTACAAATCGATTGTTGGCGAGTTTGAGTTCAATGAGGTAATTAAACACAAAAGCTGTACTTGTTTTTTTTTTGATAAAAAAGCTGCACTTGTTGAGTACTGTATATGATATGTGGTATTATGCAACGCTCTGTATTGTCATAATGGACTTGTTGACTTGCTTTACACCTGCATGAAAGCTCTTTCTACCTTCAGGCATAAAATAATATTTGCTTTACAGCTTGTATGCTCTATTTGGTACTGATAGTTAATTCGATTTGTATCTGTACCTTGTCCTGTTGTTAGGTGCCAGCAGCCAGTTTACTGATATTTTCATTGAAAGGTTAGGGGCCTTTACAGGGGATGAGTTTAATTTCACAGGAAAAATGTAGCAACATGGAAAAGTTCCCGTGTTCCAAACAGGGTCTAGTTTGTTTGGAGTTTGTGTTTTTCCTTTTTTTTGTTTGGATTCGTTATTTTTCTATTATGCATCCTTTAGCCAAATATCATCTTAAACAAAAGATGGACCAAGAGCTTACAGTTCTGTGTCTTCTTGGTGCAGAGGCATCTTCTGATCAATGAAACTGGTGAAACCAGGTAGATATTTTGACTCAAAGATAATAAGGTTTACATGCAGATACAAGAATAATATCATTGTTCTCTGAACGCACATGACCTCCATTGGTAAAATTGAAATCGAACCATGCCACAGAAATATATAGTGCTCTAAGAAAATGCAAGAAGATTAATTATTCATCTGTGGTTGTGCTCAGTGATTAATACTCTTCTTCATCCTCCAGTGA